GGGGGGGGGGGGGGGGGGGGGGGGTTAGTCTTCAGCGACATAGTAACTGCCCCACTAATGCTTACAAGCAAGTCTCAGAAGAAAAGCAGCCTTAGGAGAACATTCACCAAAGGACACAACAAAACCCAGCACCCAGTGACATGATGTCCAGTCAAAAGTGACTGAGCATGCAAATGCACAGTGAGAAAATACACATTTTTTTTTTTAATGTAGTAGATGTGAGTCCAGCAGGGAGACATGTCACAAGAAAGCTTCTTTCTTTCCTTCTTTCTCTTTCTTTCTTTCTTTCTTTCTTTCTTTCTTTCTTTCTTTCTTTCTTTCTTTTCCTTCCTTCCTTCCTTCCTTCCTTCCTTCCTTCCTTCCTTCCTTCCTTCCTTCCTTCCTTCCTTTCTTTCTTATGAATGGGAAGGTCATCCTCCAGGATTCCCTGCCATCTCAATCTTCGTCCTTTGTGCTCCTGAAGGAGAACTGTGCACAGGTGGATTAAGCAGTTGCCAAATGGCAACACCGAAAGGTTCTGAACTCAGAAGCCTCCATTTACTATTGCTGCCCCTGTACCTGTTCCGGTGTGGTCTCGGTGGTCTGCCAGCATCTCAGAAGGCCTCCTTACCCGCAATTCAGTTTGTTACAATTAGATGCACAGTGGCAGGAATGTATGTGATGTATATAAAAGTGTAAGGACCCACAAACGGATAAGTTTGCCAAAAGAAAGGGCAACAGCGCTCCTGTGTGTGTGCCCAGGAAGGAGCTATCTGGAGTCAGCTGAAACTTGCCTCGTGGTTTTCCCAGAGCCCTGACCTCCCTATCTGGTCGGCGTGGGTATCTCATTCCCAGATGAAGCCTTCTCATTTATTCCCACATGTCCCTGACCTTGCCATTTAACCCCAACATTTGTTCTAACTGTAACACTTTCATATCTTGAAGATACAACATGACAAACACTCAAAACAAATCACAAAACAGAGCACAGCATTCATAGTTTATGTGATAATACCAAGAAATCCAACATAAGCCAGGAGGTGGTAGCACAGATCTTAAATCCCAGCACTTGATGAGCAGAGGTGGGTCGGTCTCTGAGTTAGAGGCCAGCTGGTCTACAGGGAGAGTGCCAGGACATCCAGGGACTACACGGAGAAACCTGTCTCAAAAAATAAAAACAGAAGATGATGATGAAGAAGAAAAAGAAATCCAACTTTTAAGTAACCACAAAAAAAAAAAAAAAATCAAGATGGAAAGAAATGTTCAAAGAAATAATGACAAAATAGCTTCCAAGTATGGTGGAAACTATAAATCCATGAGTCCAAGAAAAATAGAAATAAAAATACTGAAAAACCTGTGAGGTGGCCTTTGTCACTATGGCATGATAGGATGGCAGTGTAAGGGAGAAAGGTAGATTTGGGCTCTTGGTTTCTCAAGTTTAGTTTCAATGTCAAGTACACAGGAGAGGCTGGGTTTGATCCTCCACACTGCTGAAAAGAAAAAACAAGGCTCCGTCAAGTCCTGTCGACTCCAGGGCTCCACATTGGTGACCTACTTCTGTCAACGAGGCCCCATCACCAGAAGTTTTTAGCACCTCTCAGTAATGCCATCAAATAGTGACCTTACCAATTAACCATATACCATAAAGTCAAATTTGGTGGTTCACGCATGTCAGCCGACGGACGCGAGGGAGGCTGAAGCCGTAGGCTCAGGATGTCAGGGCTGCATACTGAGACCCTGTCTCGGAAGCAGAGAGCAGCTGAGGGTGGTGGTGCACACCTTTAGTCTTTGCTGTGGAGAGGCAGGAGAAGCGGGAAGATCTCTGTAAGCTTAAGGCCTGCTTGGTCCTATGTAGTGAGTTCCAGGGAGACTCTTCCTAGAAAAAGAAAGTGACAAAGAGGAGGAGGAAGTGGTGGTGGTGGTGGTGGTGGTGGTGGAGGAGGAGGAGGAGAGAGAAGAGGAGGAGGAGGAGGAGGAGGAGGAGGAGGAGGAGGAGGAGGAGGAGGAAATATTTTGCACTGTGATATTAGGAAAGATCCCTTGAAGGCACCTCAGGAGTTGGCTAAACCTGGGTTCAACAGTGTGAAGGTGTAGACTCCTTGGAAGGCTTTGCTTTGAGCAGGGTTCCAGGGTGCCCTGCTTACAGACTATTGGGCTAGTTGTTTCTCCACTTAGTTGCAGCCCCCCCCTCCCAAGCTCACAGGCTGTTGCAGCCTTGGCACAAGTGGACGCAGCTACCGCCAGAGCTGGCGACATCCACATATGTGGGGTTCGTAGGCACTAAGAATGTGGTTGTGGCAGCTTCCACCCACATTTCAGAGGAAAGGCTGGACAGTCAGGAGCCCTCAAGCAGCTCTGGAAAGGTGATGCAGAAAGCTGTGAGGACCCAGGAAGGGGGACATGCCAAGAATGTGGAATGCATGCCAAGGAGAGCTGTAGGCAACGAGTAGAGCCAACTCAATAGAAAGCCAATATGGGGGTGGAGCGACGGCTCGGAGATTAACAACACTGGCTGTTCTTCCAAAGGTCCTGAGTTCAAGACCCAGCAGGAACAGGGTGGCTCACAACCATCTATAACGAGATCTGGTACCCCCTTCTGGCATGCGGGCTCAAGTGCAGACAGACTACTGTGTAAATAAAAAATTAGGAAGGGAGGGAGGGAGGGAGGGAAATGGGGAGGGAGGAAGGGAGGCAATGTGGGCTACAGATGGCAGACCTGGAGCTACAGGGTTTAATGTCTGCCATTTGGGGTCCGGATCACATTTTAGTCCCTTCTTCCCTCCTGTGTTCTCATTTCCTCCCACGGCATGGACCATTGTACACTGGAGGTATGTAACTTTCTCATTGTTTTTGCAGGGGTTCTCAAGAATTCGCCATGAGTCTCAGAGGAGACTTTGAACTTGGTGTTTTGATTACCTGAACTGCTAAGCTTATGGGGACTTAAGTTTCAGAGATGGCTCAGCAATTGAGAGCATTTGCAATTCTTCCAGAGAACTGGGGTTCAGTTCCCAGTGCCCACGTGGTGGCTCACAATCGTCTGTAATAACAGCTCCGGGAAATCCAGTGCCCTCTTCTGGCCTCTGATGTCACTCCGTGGGTGTTGTGTACATATGTACATACACACTGGCAAAACACTTAACACATAAAAATCAATAACAGGTCGGGGGGTTCTTGGGGATAGAGCAAACACATTTTGCACTATGAGACGGCCGTAAGTGTTTAGGAGCAAGGAGCAGCGTATGTTGGTTT